ACATATTAATATAAATATAAAACAATCTCATTCTTAAATTCTAATTATCACATAATTTCAGCTTCATTAGAAAAGTATATGTCGTCTTAACACTTATCCATAAAATAATCTTAAAAATTCAAATGTTTATATTTAGAATAATCATTAAAAATCCATTAAAATTTGAACTAATTATTAGAGAAAATTAGATTAAATAGGGGGGATTTGAGATAATATTTTGGTTAATTATGCAATTGATTTGTTTATTTTTGCGGATCTTAGAGTAATGTTTTTTTGCATACACATCAATTTTAATCTATTGGTAATGTTTCTTTGCATAAACATCAATTTTGCATGTATAAATATTCTTAAGAGTAAAATTGATGCTTCTAATTGGCTTGAAAGACTATTCTTATATAGCATTGAAGATTTCAGCTCCTTGTTGTCTAAGGACTTAGGAGTTCTAATAAAATCTCACATGTCCTAAAACCCAACAAGAGTCCAAGTAGAGATAAACCTCTAATATGATTGGTTGTGCAAAGTCTAATGTAAGTAGGACTCTTGATTAAAACAAACCAAGCTAAAAAGGAACTCCTAAAGCAATATGGATTTGAGTATTTGAGGTAACCTATAACAAATCTTCACATTGACTCAAATGCGTAGAAGATTCTTTACTCCAAAATAAGCTAACTTACTCCACATTCTCCAATAGCCCCCCAGGGCATCTAAGTGTGGCACATATCGATCAAGTCTAAGCCCGGCTTGAACTTGCTAACTGAAAAATACCTCCTCAATAAATGGACTGAATTGTCCGCACGACTGTAAATATTAGCGAAGTCATCACCTGAAGTAGCTCCTGAATAGCTGAAGGGTACAAAATTATCAACCGATAATGCATAAGTTGTCATATCTTCATATCTTCACGGTTATTGGATATCTCGTCTAGACCGATCTCTAGCAATAGTGTATTCCGGCTCTTCCTGCAGCTGTTGAGGTGCTTCATTTACTTGAACGGATTCTGACTGTTGAACTTCTGTAATATTATCCTGTTGAAGAGTTGAATTACGAATTTCTAACTTCACCTTATGTCCTGTAGTGCGCGTCTTATCAACAACTAAAACTGATGACCGTTTCTGGTATAACATAACAAATTCATCAAAAATAACATCACGACTAATAATAATCTTATGAGACTTCGGATCAAGACACAACAACCTAAACCCTTAACACTCGATGCATAACCTAGGAATATGCTCTTCTTCGCTCGTGGCTCAAGTTTCCCTTGACTAACATGTACGTATGCAGTGCAACCAAATATTCTAAGATTAGAATAATCCGCAGGCTTACCGGACCAAACCTCCTCTGGAGTTTTACAACTAATAGCAGTAGGTGGCGACCGATTCACTAAGTAACAAGTCGTATTCACTGCTTCTGCCCAATATTCCTTGTCTAAACCTGTATTGAACATCATACAACGAGCTTTCTCTAATAGGGTTATGTTCATACATTCTACCATTCTATTATGTTGCAGTGTGAGAGAGACTGTACGATGTCTAACGATTCCCTCCTTCTTGCAGAACTCATTAAATTCTCTTCCACAAAACTCAAGATCATTATCAGTTCTAAGGCTCTTAATCAGCCTCTCAGCCTGCTTCTCAATCAAAAACTTCCACTGCTTGAGAGTCACAAACACATCATCTTTATGTTTTAAAAAATAGACCTAAACTTTCATGGAGTAGTCATCAATGATGGTCAACAAATATCTGAAACTACCACCATTAAAGGCAACTTGAGAAGGTCCCCAAAGATCTGAATGGATATAATCCAAAGTACCTTTAGTCTGATGCACTGCCGTACTGAAGCCGACTCTTTTCTACTTCCCAAAGATGCAATACTCGTAGAATCCTAATTTTATTGTACTTTGTTCACATAAAAGACCCTTCTTACTCAATTCGATCAATCTGCGCTCACTCATATAACCAAGTCTCATATGCCATAATCTAGTAGTATCAACTCCTAACATCGACGATGCAACTGTATCCGAGCCGGTAACGGTAGAACCCTACAAAACATACAAGCTGCCTATCTTTTTTCCTTTCATAACCACAAAAGAGCCTTTTATAACCCTAAGAACTTCGCATTTACTTGATAAATTGCACCCAATGCTATCAAGAGTGTCCAAAGAGATGAGATTCTTCCTTAAACCTGGAACATGCCTAACATCTGTCAAAGTCCTGATGACTCTATCATTCATCTTAATCCAAATTGTGCATTTCCCAACAGTCTTGCATGAGGTGTTGTTCCCCATAAGAACTCCACCATCAATAGTTTCATAAGTGGTGAACCAGTCTAGATTAGGACACGTGATAAGACAACTCGAAATCCAATCATCCATGCTCCTATTTATGTCATATGTAGCCAACAAAATCACATCTTCAGCAATATCAACTTCAACAAAGTCCTTTGATTTTTCTTCATACTCTTCTTATTTATTTTTGTTCTTTAATCTGTAATAATCGGTCTTGATGTGCCTTTTTTTCTTATAATATCAGCAGGTCGGATTCATGTGCTTCGACTTATACATATTACCTCCAAAGCCCTTTTTCCTGATCTTCCTCGAACAAACAAGTCAACTTTATCGCCACTTTCACTTGTGGTTAACTCTTTGTCGATCTTCTCCTTATTCAATAAGTTCTCTTTGACGTCCTTAATACCTATAGAATCTCGACCGTAAATCATTATATCCCTAAAGTGCTTGTAGAAAGACGACAAAGAACACAATAACAATAGGGCTTGATCTTCATCATCGATCTTAACATCAATCTTACTCAAATCTGTAATCACAGAATTAAATTTCTTCATCATCGATCTTAACATCAATCTTACTCAAATCTGTAATCACAGAATTAAATTCACCAATATGATATTTGATGGGTGTTCCTTCCGACATCCTTACTCAAATCTGTAATCACAGAATTAAATTCACCAATATGATATTTGATGGGTGTTCCTTCCGACATCCGAAGTGTGTACAAACGCTGCTTCAAGAGGAGGCGATTAGTGAGCAACTTCGTCAAATATAAATCCTTCAATTTAGACCACAAATCAGCGGCTATTTTTTCCTTGAGAACTTGCAAAACTTCGTTTGTCAAACATAACTAGATCGCTGTGAGAGCTCCATCATCTAACTCGTTCTAATCTTCCTCTGTTATAGTAGCAGGTTTCTTTGACTTTTCCAACAAAGCCTTCTTCAATCCACTCTGTGTCAACACGACGACCATCCTAACTTGCCAAAGACTAAAACTGATGTTACTGTCAAACTTCTTGATATCACATTTCGTAGTAGGTATCGTCATCTTCTCGTCCGGTCGATAGTTGAGGGCTCTGACACTAATTTATTATGACAAACTCCCCAAGATAAGCTAATATCAATCACACGAGAGCATGAAAAATATCAAGAACACATGACCACAAATATATACGTGGTTCAGCTTGTAGCATACGTCCACAGGGGAAGGAGGAAAAAAGCTTTACTAATTGTGAGGATTACAAAGTGGAATCTCCCAATCTCTCGATCCCAAATAACACCCCAAAAGCCTAATACAACTCTCAACTAAAGAAACAAAAGAGAAGAATATCAAATAGACTTCACAAATGAACTCTCCTCTTGATTGGTGCTCTAAAGATTGATGCTTCTAATTGACTTGAAAGACTGTTCTTATATAGCCTTAAAGATCCCAGCTCATTGATGTCTAAGAAATAAGAGTTCTATCAGGAATAGAAGTCTACATGTCCTAAATCCCAACAAGAGTCCTAGTAAAAACAAACCTCTAATATGATTGGTTGTGCAAAGTCTAATATAAGTAGGACTCTTGGTCAAAACAAACCAAGCTAAAAAGGAACTCCTATAGCAATATGGTTTTGAGTATTTAAGGCAACCTATAACATAAATCCATCTCCGACGATGAGACGCCGGAGATAGGTAGCAACGACAATGGAAATATGGCGAACAATTAGGCCGCATTGCTCGCTATTAATATTGTTTATTGTCATCATCTCTTCTTTGACTAGACTTTTGTGCTCACTATTTGCAACTAGAAGAATTTTTTGAGGGAAACAACTTGAAGAATTAAACTAGACTTCTCTCTCATCCACTTGTCATTAACTCTAATCCTAGATCCATCTCCGACGATGGGGCGTTGGAGATAGGTAGCGATGGCGATGGAAAGAGGGAGGACAATTAGGCCGCACTGCTCGCTATTAATACTGTTTATTATCGTCATCTCTTCTCTGACTAGACTTTTGTGCTCACTATTTGCAACTAGAAGAATTTTTTGAGAGAAACAACTTGAAGAATTAAACTATAGACCACTAGTTACAAGAAAAAGAGAAAAATAAATTAAAGAGGTAAGGTAATTGTGTCTCTGATGATGGGAAGGAGGCTGATTGGTCCACTGCCACCTTATCACCTGCAAGCCCTGTCACTGACGAACCCTCCCCCACCCACCCTCTAATTTTAAATTAATTTAGGGTTAAATGTAATAAAAATTTAATTATATTAATTAGGTTAATAATTAGTCTGTTAATTTAAAAGGGTATTTAGGTCTTTTTATCAGTTTATCTAATAGCGGTATGGGGATTAAAGAAAATATCAAAAAGTTTTGGGGATTTTCTAGAATTTCCAAGCTTATTAGGGGTTAAGTGGTAGTTTCAAACTTTTTAGGGGCGCAATACCAAATACCCAAACTTACTAGGGGCTTTGTCAAATTTGCCAGAATAATATAACAGCCTCAGCCTTTCTCAGAGTAAATGGTTTAAATATGTTAAAATAGCACACAATTAACAAAGTACATCTTTATTAACAGATGTAAAGGTCTATAAGCATGCCTCTAATGGGCAACATCAGCAAGGTACAAAAACAACTTCTCAGATTCAAAATTATCACCTACATGCACTACTGACCAATCAAAACATTGCAAAAGTCATTGTTTCGGAGTATGGGTTTTTAATTTGAGTATTACCTGTCGAGGATATCCCCATGGCCAAGCTGTCCGCTTGTGCCCCTGCCCCATGAGAATACATTTCTTCTATCTGTGAAAGCAAGTGTGTGCCTCCAGCCACATGATATTTGAATAACTTTCTGTAAAATGACATGTAGATATTAAAGGGAAAAAACGCTAGAATTTTAGCGACATGGGTAACAAATCAAAGAATAATTTATCTCAAAAATGAAAGTATATAGAAGTTTGAAATAAAGCCATGCCTCTTCATGTGGAAATGTAACTTGTACTGGAGAGCAATGATCAACATTATCCCCCACACCAAGTTGACCAAACTGCGTAAAGTTACAGGACACATTAGAACAAAAATCAATGCAATGTCAGGACAAGAGCTTCTAAGAAAAATACTTTTTATACATCTAGAAATTTGACTCAAAATAAACTTGTTTTCGGTCATTAAAAAGTAACACATAATGGTACATGAGAACCAATATTAGAGAGGGATCATAGAGAGGTTTGAAATGGTGAGGATATTAATCATGTGGAACTTATTCTTGATTTTCACTTTTTTATCAATGAAATTCCCTTGTGTAGAAACATATCTTAAAACTCTACTGCTACAATGTATAATAGTGTCAGAAAAAGAAGCAGTAACTCATTGTTTAACAAAGAAATTGAATTACTATATTTAACATACTGTGAACGTAGGACCACTGAATTTTTCGCGGAGGCAAAGCACGTGAACAACGAACGTGGGGGCCACAAGCATGCAACAAGATCGGGTTCAATTCTTTTGGACCTGGAATTTTCGTGTGAGGTTTCCTATAAATAGCCGATCTCTCCTAGGGTTTGCGGCAGGGGAAAATCGCGTGGGAAAAAGCTGTGGAAGAAAGGAAAAAAAGGGCAGAAGTTTTTTTATTTTTTTCTTTTGGTGGCTGAGCAGAGAAAGAAAACAGAGAATTAAAGAGAGAGATTTTGAGGAGAGAAAAAGAGGGATTTTACAAAAGAGAGGTTAATTTCTTTTGGGTAAAAATCAAATCTATTTTTCTTTGAGACGAGCTTGTGGATTGTACAAGTCGTCGGTGTTCTTCTCATAGTAGAATCTCCCCTCACCCCCTCCCGTGGACGTAGGCAAGTTTGCTGAACCATGTAAATCTCGTGTATTTATTGTTTTTTCTGGATGTTAGCTATTGCTTGTAGGTTCCCTCGACATTTCAGTCCTAGAACTGATGAGAGGAAGAGTGCATATTTCACTTTGTTGAAATATTTCACTTTCTATTCTAGTTTCCTTTGAGAAACAAGAATTTCACTATTTATTCTAGTTTCCTTTGAGAAACAAGAATATAGGTTGACTTGTGCTTTTGTGACAACAGAACCAATAAACAACATTAGCACCTCATCAGTTAGAAGCGAAAAAAACTATCATGAGATCCACAATAATAAACCATGAACAATGTCAATTTGACATAACAATAATAAACATGAACAGTATCAAAATCAAAAAATGTCCATGGTGGCTTGAAAACTCCCATCTTTTGACAGAATGATGATACAGGAATAAAAAAGGGATGACGCAGGAATAATTAATGCAGGCTAAGGGTAAGTGTCTAAATGACATAAGGTTAGTGAAGAGATAGAGTTAATATTTTTTAAGGAAATGAAAGTTGCAAAGTGCAAACACAATTTTCCCTGAATATTTCTTTTTAATAATTGATATTAGCAAAATCATCCCAACGTTACAAAATGGAGGAGTGTTTAGGTAGTCTTATGTGACCGTATAATACCTACGAGAGTAAAGAGAAAATTCTATAGAATGGTTATTAGACCAACAATTCTTTATGGATCAAAACGTTAGGCAACTTAAAAATATGTGCAAAAAATGAATGTAGTAGAAATGAGAATTTTGCGATGGTTTTGTGTGTATACACTAAAAGATAGGATAAGAAATGAGTGTATCTCTAGAAAATTAGAGGTTGCTCCTATTGAGGATAAAAATAAGAGAATCGATAAAGGTGGTTTAGTCATATATAACGGAGACCTCTTAGTGTGTTGGTTAGAAAAAATGATAATATTATAGTTAATGAGACAAAGATCTAGAGATAGACCTAAAAGAACTTGGTTGAGAGCAATGGAGAAGGATGTAATAATTGATAACTTAACGGAGAATAAAGCCCATAATAGAACAGGATGGAATCATAGGATTCGTGTAGCCAACCCCAAACATTTGGAATAAAGACTATGTTCTTGTTATTGTTGTTGTCATCCCAACAATCCAAAAAATATATTATAAGACAATTTACTAAGCTTAGTAAGTAGATTGTGAAGGAAAGAGAAGACCCTAGAGAAGACAATGGAAGACAGGCAAACCTTATTCCATCCCCAGCCATAGAGTCTGCCATCTGAAGCCAATGCCATAGTATGTCTCCACCCACCAGATATCTGATAAAAATAAGCATGTGAATTCATAAGATGTTCTGTAATAGCTCTATAATAGTTCATTCATTAATTTGTTACAGTTAAGACAATTGGTAAAGTTTGTCCTCTTATTGAGACCTAATCCCTGATTGATCAAGCTACTACAGTGCGCCTATGCACCCCAACTTTAGGAATAGGTTCGTCAAGGTGACTCCCCCTTCGACGATCCAAATCTGCTTAACATCAAATCTTTAAGGTTCTAGCTAAGCTTTGTGGTCTCTCAAAATGCTCCTCCACCTATCAGTAGAGCCGTATTTATCCCTAGGTCTGACTAATGGAGACGAAAATCAAAACTAAAGGCAATGCAAAGCACGAACAAGAGGATTTAATATAGCCCATCAAGACAAGGGTAGAGTATGGCATTGAAAAGATGATGGTTTGCTTTAAAAATCAAAGAGAAACAGTCAATATCGGTGCACTCCCACCAACAAAAACATTCACAACCTCTCATCCACCGCGTAACAGACACAACAAACACCAATAACTGAAAAGAATGTAAACCAGGAATCAGAGGACTAAATGTAGCTCATTCAAAATTGGACTATCCATTGGCATTAACAAAGAACCTGATACACTAAAACGAAAGACAAAAGGTCAAGGATGGTGACCTAGCACACAAAAAAAATAACTCTCATGAACTCCCATGCTCTGGCTTGCAATGACACGCCACAAGAGTCAAGAAAAAGAAAAGAATAAAGAATGATATAAAACCCAAAAGAAACAAACAAATAAATTTGAGAAAAAAGAAGAAGAAAGAATGGATATAGCTCATAAACTAGAATACCAGTCTAGAACTAAACAACTGCCACGGATTAATACAAAATGAGAGGTTGATAATTAGTTAAAAGCATTACAAATCAACAAGTAACATCTTCACCAAGTAATGTCCTCAATCTTTCATCAGTATCATTTAAATTTGATTGTAGAAAATTAATCCCCATCTGCACTTTTTCAGTTGATTGTTATCGTTGTTATTTTTTCAGTCTGACATCTGGAAAATCTTCTCCTCCACGAGTGAAAATATTTTGGACTCTTAAATAGCCACCACCATTTATCTGTCAATATTGTTTCTACTCTTGAAATATGTGGTTTCAAGAGTGTTTCATATGAAAAATATTGTGGCAGGTTGAGGTGCATATATGTGAGCCTAGGGGTTAGGCTTATCTTCTGTTCTCCACTCCCATCTCCAAAGGTTTATAAATAGATTGGTTAATGTTCAATCTTCCCTTGTCTCTTCTTGTCAAGAATGGAAACAAGAACAAATCAGTCAATAACCCACAAACATCTGAATAAATTACGTTTCAGCACTATCAATGAATATGACACTGAAATTTTAGTTTCAGTGTTAAATTACGTTACAGAACTTTTAACTAACTTATGAATTTCTATCAATAAATAAATAAAACAAATTAATGCAGTTAGTGGTTTATATAAGCCCTTCATCATCCTCTCTCAGGTGTTTAAACAAGTGTCCAACAATAGAACACATGGAGAGGGAACGTAGTTTTTTGTTCATGGATTTTCGATAATTGCAGTATCCAACTGATTCCTCCAACCAAATCCTTTTTTAATTCTATTCCCCTTTACTCTTCATTTTCCTACTATTCAGTGTCATCTTCCACTAGTTTTCTACTCAATTCTCCAAACTGCTAGTTTGCATATCTTTCAATTTATATCCCCCTTACCAATTTGCATTCCACGTGCTTAAGGACCACTTGACTTCTTTAAAGATGTGATGTGAAAATTGTTGCTAAAAATTGTAAAGATGAACAAGATTGTAACTGAAAGCAATGTGTTAAATTTGTGGCTAGTGGGATATGAACCTGAGTTGTTCTCATACCATGTTAAAAGTCTCTGCCACAGCACCAAAACTCCAAAGTTGTGGTGAAGGCTGAGGGTTATAAGTTTTTACTATAACACATGGAAAGAAACTTCAACTAAAAGACATATTATCATGGTGTAAATTGTCACAAACATCCTTCAGTATTGAAATCACTGAATTATTTATCAAATCAGAAAACTCTGAAGAGTAAATATATTGAAATATTAACGGAGAATGACAAAAAGACATAACCAAAGAAAAAAAAATCTGAGTTCTAATAATCCCAGAAATTTCTAATATGAGTCTATGACTAATTATGAATCTGAAATTGTGAAACATCCCAACTATTCAACATTCATTCTATGTTGTGAAGAAGATGCAATGGGAAGCTTACCTATCTGACAGGTAAATTCATTTTACTTTTCAATTTAATGAAGGTCATCTAAGTCAATCAAATATGTCACACATGCTTATTGGCTAACAGACTTTAGCGAAGTATTAATACCTCTGTGAAGAATGCATAATTCATACACATACAATATCCGCAACATGACTTAGGTGACAAATAGTATGTCAAGAGCTTATATTCATTTGTATAATGGTTAGAAATATTCTACAGACTACATGATCTTTTTTACATGCTATTGTGTAACTAAACTGCATTTATTATGTGGAGAAGAAAGGAATAATAAATGGGAAAGGAGACAGGCTAAGGAATAGAACCTGAGATATATAGCTATCTTTCAGTGCTTCCAGTCTGTGTGGAATGAGGTGATCTTCAAAGTCACCATGGCCAAGCTGACCATATTTACTCCACCCATAGGTGTACAAATTCCCTGACGAAGAAACAGTAATTGTATGTCGCCAGCCACAAGCAACCGATGCCATTTGTTGTCCCTAAAAACAAAAGTTATGCTGGTAAAATAAGTATAAAGAAACAAGAAATACAAATACCTAGTGTGGAACTTCAAAACCAAAAATAAGCAAGCGCAGTTCTTTTGAGAGAAGTGACATGATTATAATGCATACTCTAGAATTTTAACCAACTTGAAAATCATGTATGCAACAGTTACATGAGGCATGTGGTGAGAGAAGAGATTTGAGAAGTTTTATTAGATGACTGCAGAATGTATGGAGAAAATTAACTACAGTCTTTCCTACAATATCTCCAAGCCCTGATGAGACTTCTGCATTTTGAAAAGGACATGGAGGTGATCTCAACAACTTTTCTAAAAGCATGAAGCTAGCGGCAATTAGCATATAAGTAAGGTTCTCTTTTGAAGTACAGTAACAGAAAAGACATTTCCCAAGATGAACTGCACCTTTTTGCTGAAAAAAACATGAGTTTAGCTACAAATTTATACCAATCCTACATCAAGTGAGGTAATCCAATGGCACTGTTTCAAATTTCATGAAATAAAAAGCGCTTCACAGTGAAAAAGAGATTGTGATCAACACTTTTCAGAAATAAGAGCTCCTAATGCGACTAGAAATGGAATATGCATACTCAGTGTTGGCAAACGCTTTAGCAGTAAGCACTGTGTTAGATACTGAAGCACTATGTTAGATATCCAAATTTATTGTTAGAGTATCGAAGCACTTACCTAATGTCCAGTGGCGTAGCCAAGAATTGGAGTTAGGGGGGCAATCTTGTTCTTGCTTGCTCTTAAAAATACTAAAACATTTATATTAAAGACGATTCATAATTAGCCCCGACGATTTGCATTTTTTTAAATAATTACATAATTGAATCACTACAATAGTACAATTAGTATAGAAAACATGAGATTGATATATGTGTGTGTTAGTAAGCAGAGTCATTCATCTACTGACCTCTCATGTGGTTACAACATTTTAATTTCCATATATTCATATAGCTGATAATATTCTCAACACATATAGTTGAACCAAAAAACATTAATACGAACTTTACAAGCTTGTAAACAGAGGGATATACTGTGAAGATCGTGGGGGCCACCACGTGCGGAGAGCGGCTTCTTTCCGCGTGAAACAGCGGTTCGTTTCTGCTGCGTGTGATGGCCCACACAATTACAATTATGAAGCTGCTATAAATACCCATGCTAGGGTATTTTTCGATGGTGTGCGAAGTGAGGGGGCAAAAGAATTGCAGGCGGCTGATTTGGACGCAGTGCAAGTGAAGGCAGGGGCGTGCAAAGTCGGCTGATTTTTTTTTCTTTTGGCAGTGCGCAGGCAAAGGGGAAAATCGATGCTTGGCGGCTGTGTTTGGTGAAGATTTTTTTTTCTTTTGGCAGTGCGCAGGCAAAGGGGAAAATCGATGCTTGGCGGCTGTGTTTGGTGAAGAAAATTGCATCGGCTTTTGTGTTAGGGTTTTGTGCATCCCCTTTTGAGAGAGATTTTGTGTGAGGGATCTGAGAGTTTGTGTGAGGGTTTAGATTGAAAGATTGTAAACCCTAGTTGTATCTCTCCCTCTAATAGTACATCTCCCTCCTCCTTGCCCTGTGGATGTAGGCAATTTGCCGAACCACGTAAAATCGTTTGTTTTATGTTTGTGACAATTGTAATAGTTTATTAGGATCCCTTGACAGGTCAGTCCTAAAACTGATGAGAGGAAGAACCGATATCTCACTTTCTTGAGATATTCGCTTCAGTTTCTTGTTTCCTTGGTGAGACGGGAATTCTTATTGATCTTTCTTTTTTATTGTGCACTAGAAACTCTGCCGAAATTTCCGCTGCGCGCAACAAGTGGTATCAAAACTCGGGCTACGCTTGGGCTATTTGGAGGAGTAAATTGATTTGAAAGCTCGTCTAGGGCTTTGTTTGGTGATAAAGGTTGGATCTTTTGGTAAAAGACTCTATCTTTTTAGTTTTGGATCTATTCTTCGTTTGTTGGTGCGTTGAGAAAGATGTTGGTGAAAGAAGGTGCTTCGGGTGTCGAGGATGGTGCTTCTGGCGCGAAGACCATTCAGAGTTTGAATATCCACTCTATGAAGATAGATGTGGATAAGCTTACTGGCACAAACAACTTTGAATTATGGAGATGCGATGTTTTGGATGCGCTAAACGCGCAGAATTTGGAGGATACATTGGAGTTAGATGGCAAGCCAGATGATATTAAAGAGAATGTTTGGAAGAAGATGAATCGAACGACGTGTGGTGTGATTAGGTCTTGTTTGACTCAAGATCTAAAATATGATGTGATGAATGAGACTTCTGCAAAGAAGATTTAGGAGATTCTCGAAAACAAGTATCTGACAAAGAGTGTTAAGAACCACTTGCATTTGAAGAGGAGACTTTATTGTTTCCAGTTAAAGAAGGGAACCTCAATTAGTGATCACATAAACACCTACACAAACCTTCTTACGGATTTGACGAATGTGGATGTCAAGATTGAAGATGAGGACAAGGCGTTGCTATTATTAAGTTCCTTGCCCGACGAGAAATATGAGACATTCGTTCTTACTCTGATTAATGGGAAGACATTTCTTTCGTATAGTGAGGTGACTGCTGCACTTGTGAACTATCAGTTTCGAAAAAAGGATAAGGAGGCTTCAGTTGAGCCGGTAACAGAGGCATTGACCGCAAGAGGGAACAATCCGAACCGGAAGAATTGGAAGTCACAGTCTAGAGTAGGACATCCTACAATTAGAAAAGATCAGTGTGTTTGGTGCAAGAAGACTGATCATTAGAAGAAAGACTGCCCAAAACTCGACGAATGGATGAACAATAAGCAGAAGGGAAAAGGAAAGCAACCATCATCAGAAGCAAACATTGTTATATCGGATGGTAATATTTCTGACTCTTCTATTTATTCGCTTTCTATCAGTCCTACAGATAGCTATTCGGAGGAATCTGAATGGATATTGGATAGTGATGCGACCTATCATGTGTGCCCTAGAAGGGAATGGTTCTCCAGTTTTGAGAAGCTGGATAGTGATGTGATGTAAATGGCTGATAACCATGCATGCCAGATCCTTGGGATAGGAAGAATTCACATCAAGATGTTTGACGGGACTGTTAGGGAGTTATATGACGTGAGATATGTTCCTTCCTTGATGAAGAACTTGATCTCGATTGGAGCTTTGGTTGGAGAGGATCTGAATGTTCGAATTGAGGACATGGTTCTCAAGATTGTGAAAGACTCTCAGATTGTGATAAAGGGCGTCAGGAGGAATGACAAGTACTGTATTACTTGACTGGAGATATAGTGACAGGTGGAGAAGTGACGACTTCTATTGATCCGACTAGACTGTGGCATTTGGGGCTTGACCATTCTAGTATTGATTTCTCGTATAGATTGAAAGAGGGTGTGAAGACCTGCAGTTTGAAGTCCAGTGAACATATTGATGTGAGCAAAAAGACCAAGGTGAAGTTTGGCACCTCTATTCGCCGTGCTAAGGGTCGTTCTAGAGGAGTTCACGTGGATGTTTGGGAGCCTACTAATGAGGCATCATTAGGAGGTAATAGACGTTTGGTTTTTATTGTTGGTGGCTATTCTAGGCGTGTTTGGGTTACAACCAAATCCCCATTGGAAAAAATCCTAGTAGTCTTCAACAGATTGAAGAAGTGTATGATAGACAAAAAGATGAAGGTACTTCATTCTAATTTTGGTGGGAGGTACAAAATGGACCTATTTTTGTATTGGAGCCAAGCTCACAGTATTTTGAGACACTTCGTTGGAAAGAAAATCTTGGGGCAACGAAATAGGGTGGTAAATTTGGAGAACCGTGCCTTGCTGGAGGAGGATCGGTGTTTGTTGTCAAGCAATGATCTGCAGAAGAGTTTCTAAACTGAGGCTTCGATATATTTGAGCCATCTTACTAAAGAGTTGTCAACTGCTGTGATAGAAGGTAAAACTCAATTAGGTGTTTGGTCTGATAGTGTCACTTCGGTTGAGGCTTGGATGAGTGTAGGCTGTCTAAAAATCACAATAGATAGCTTATCCCCCATCAAACACTGATGATGGAAGTTACAATCTGACGACTTCCAGAAGACTACAATTTGAAGACTTTCACGTAGATCGCTGAAGGTTACAATCTGACGACCTTCACGACAACCGATGAGAGCTCTACTTCAACAGCCTTCACAATCAACATCGGGAGTTACAATCTGACGACTCTCATATTCTCAAGGAGCCAAGACGAAGATTATAAGACAATGATCTTTGCAACGCTATGACAAAAAGAGATTACTTGGTGATAATCTCTGCAAGGCAAGACGCGGAGGTCCTCCCCGTGTTTCAACATCAAAACGCCAAGGTCGAACCCGCGTTACAACATCAAAACGCCAGGGTCGAACCCCGCGTTACAACATCAAAACGCCAAGGTCGAACCCGCGTTACAACATCAAAACGCCAGGGTCGAACCCCGCGTCACAACATCAAAAACGCCAAGGTCGACCCTCGCGTTTTTCTACGCCCTGCGGGTACCCAACTCCGCGTCTCCAGTCTAAAATGTGGAGTTAGGATCCTGAACGCCAACGTGGGCATTTGACTCGTTCAAACACGAGCTGAACGGTTGCAGGAACAGTTTTTCCTCCACGATCTGAGGGATTTTTGCCCCACTTATGAGCGGATTAAGGGGGCGGTTACACCCCTCTCAACCCCATTATGGAGAGAATTAAGGGGGCGGTTACACCCCTTAATTCCCTATAAATACGGGTAAACTCAACTGAGTTCAGGGTTCGATTTTCTTGGCTTGGATCGACCACTGGAGACAGGCTTTTGAGGAGATCGACATCATCTTCCAACGAAGATCATCTTCAACTTCAGCAACAGGGAGCCTCTGTCCTTGGCTTACAACCGATCTTCGGTTCAAATCAACTCTTTTTCAAGAGTTCAAACTCGATCAGAGTTATCAACTCATCAAGAGTTTTAAACTTGCCACGCAAGTTCTCCACAACGTCAAATCGTGAGGAGA